CTGGCTAACCCTACATTTGTCACTCTTATTAATGGAGCCTTCTCCAGGATGCTGAATGCTTGTTTTAGAGTGAATCATTGCTGTAGATTTTTTTTCCTGTAAATTTCTTGCATGATGTATGGAAATGAGAGCTACAGTATCTGATGTTAGGTGGTTGTTAAGCACCCCTAGGTTTTCTTTTAACATTTGTTTTTAAATATAGCACATTTAGGCCCAGGAAGGAAGATCATTTAAAACCAGGAGTTTGTGACCAGCCTGGACCACTCCTGTCTCTACAAGAAATTAAAAAATTAGCGGGACATGCTGGCATGAAGTCCCAGCAACTCTGGAGGTTGAGTCAATAGGAGGATCACTTGAGCCCAGGAGATCAAGAATTCAGTGAGCTGTGATTGTACCACTGCACTCCAGCCTGGGTGACAGAGCAATGCTCTGTCTCAAAATAAATAAATAAGAATAAATTTAAGAAAAATTAGAAAATTTAACAAGCACGTTAATTAAAAAGTTTTAAATAATATTTTTATATATAAAGAGCAAAATATAAATGACTCATAAACCTTCCACCCAAATGACTCCTGTTGGTGGTAATGGAGTCAAAAGTGTAAAATAAAATAAAAATGACCTTCTATCCTTTAATCTCTACTCTAGTCCATCTCTTCAGTGTTTTTTGTTTGTTTGCTTGCTTGCTTGATATGCTCTAGTTGCCCAGGCTGGAGTGCAATGGTGCAATCTGGGCTCACTGCAACCTTCACCTCCCAGGTTCAATCAATTCTCCTGCCTCAGCCTCCCAAGTAGCTGGGATTACAGGCATGTACCACCAAGCCTGGATAATTTTTTTCATATTTTTTGGTGGAGACAGGGTTTCTCCATGTTGGTCAGGCTGGTCTCGAACTCCCGGCTTCAGGTGATTCACCCCACTTGGCCTCCCAAAGTGCTGGGATTACAGGCGTGAGCCACTGTGGCCCGGCCTCTTCAATGTTGATGTTTTTGTGATTCCTTCCAGAAAAAAAAAAAGATTTTTATTTATGTCTGTCCATCCTATTATCCTTCTAATATTCTTTCTTTTTTTTTTCTTTTTTCGATGGAGCCTCCCTCTGTCGCCCAGGCTGGAGTAGTGCAGCAACATGACTTTGGCTCACTGCAACCTCTGCCTCCCGGGTTCAAGTGATTCTCCTACCTCAGCCTCCTGAGTAGCTGGGATTACAGGAGGGCACTACCATGCCCGGCTAATTTTTGTATTTTTAGTAGAGACAGGTTTTCACCATGTTGGTCAGGCTGGTCTCAAACTCCTGACCTTGTGACCTGCCCGCCTTGGCCTCCCAAAGTGTTGGGATTACAGGCGTGAGCCATCATGCCTGGCCCTTCTAATATTCTTTACACAAGAGTGGCCATACCATTAACACTGTTGTGCACCTCTTTTTTTTAACTTAGCAGTGTATCTTGGACTCGTTTCCGTATCAGCACATAACAGATTTATTTTAATCTTCTTAATGGTTCATAGGATTAATCACTGGAGTGTTTCACTGTTTAGTCCTGCAATTAAGATTGCTATGAGGGCAACCCAGTAGTAAATATGTTTGTCCATATATCTTGGAAGACATTTATGAGTCCAGCCATAGGAGTACTGCCAGTAGAGGGGTTGCTGGACAGAGAGTATGTGCATTTTTAGGATTGAAGGCCAATACCACTCTGCCCTAGAGAAAGGTTCCCTCCCACCACGATGATGGGCATGCCTGTTTCCCCAACACTCTTGCACATGATGAAGGTTACAGAAGTGAAAAAGGAAAACATATTATTTCAATAGCAATAAAATATAGAATAACTAGAAATAAACTTGATAAATATGTACTGTGGAAGAAACTTTGGTATGTCCCAGAGGGACCGAAAGGAAGACTTGAACAAATCAAAATTTTGCCAGTTTCTTGCATGGGAACTTGCAGCATGGTGAAAATATTCACTCTCAGTCAAGCTGTGATATGAACATGACCCAATAAAAATACCCACAACATTTTTTTTGGTGGGGGAAGGGGAATTTGATAACTTGATTTTTAAAGGTCTTTTAGAAAAACAAATTAGGGAGATTCAAAGTAGAAACAGGAATACAGAAAGATGTGAGAAATAGTTTAATCAAATATTAGAACATAATGTGAAATTAAAATTGTTTAAAGTAATGTTTTATACAAATAGATAATTGGATCACAGTCATAAACTCATGTTTGGGAATATAATAAATGATAAATGGTATGTGATATATGCCATCTCAAATCAATGAGGAAAAATAGCTACACCCATTTGGTGGGGGAAGTTAAATTCATGTTGCATGCTTTACAGTGAAAAAATTCCAAATTGATCAGAGATTTATATGCAAAAAATGAAATATGTATTACCAGAATTCACAAGATAATTGTTTTATAATCCCAGGTCTTTCTGCTATGACATAAAACTCAGGAGCCATTGAAAGGAAAATTGGTAAATTCAGCTTTATTCAAAAAATTCTTCATGGAATCACTTGAACCCCGGAGGTGGAGTTTGCAGTGGGCCGAGATAGCATCACTGCACTCCAGACTGGGGGACAGAGTGAGACTTGGTCTCAAAAAAAAAAAAAAGTTTTTCATGGCAAAACCTGTCATATGCAAAGTCATAAAACAAGCAACAAATTGGGGACAAATAAATAAAAACTAAATTTTCTAATATATAAAGAGTTATTACAAACCAGTAGGAAAAAGATCCAGTGACCCAGTAGGACACCAGGCAAGATAATGGACAGACAGTTCGCAGACAAGAAGACACAGCATTTAAACATGAAATGTTCAATAAGAAAAAATGAAAATTTCATAATAAGATAAATATATTACCATCTCACAGGGATCATTTTTTTTCCACTGAGAATAGTCAGAGTATGGGAAAAGAAACACATTTATATATCACTGATGGCAGATAACTCCATGCTACTCTATGGAGGGAATCTGGCACTATCTGAAAAAATTACAGTGCACATATATGTGTGTGTGTGGGTGTGTGTGTGTGTGTGTGTATATTTACACCTCTGATTTTTAATTTTTTTATTTTTTGTGGGTACATAGTAGCTGTATATATTTATAGGGTACATGAGATGTTTTGATACAGACACACAATGCATATTTTTTAACCCAGCAATTCCACATCTAAGCATTTATTTTTTATAGGTACTATAAGCGCACACATGTGCAATCATGTAGGAATGATATTTTTCATTAATAGATGACTTATAAAAGCAAAAGTTTGCATATTCCATGGTATATCACACAATGGATCTGTAGAAAAGAATGAGGAAGAGCTCTGTGTACTGCTATGAAATGGTCTCTAAGAAAACTATACTGTTTTTGGGGGTTTTTTGGTTTTGGTTTTGGTTTTGGGGTTTTTTTTTTTTTTTGAGACAGTTTCACTCTTGTTTCCCAGGCTGGAGTGCAGTAGTGTGATTCCCAACCTCTGCCTCCCGGGTTCAAGTGATTCTTCTGCCTCAGCCTCCCAAGTAGCTGGGATTAAAGGTGCCTGCCACCACACTTGGCTAATTTTTTGTATTTTTAGTAGAGATGGGGTTTCACCATGTTGGCCAGTCTGGTCTCAAACTCCTGACCTCAGATGATCTGCCTGCCTCGACCTCCCAAAGTGCAGGGATTACAGGCGTGAGCACTGCACCTGACTGAAAAGTATACTGTTAATTGATAAAAATTGATTTTAGGAGGCTGCAGTGGCTCCGGCCAGTTGTGCTGGCACTTGAAAAGGCGAGGCTATGAGTTCAAGGCCAACCCGAGCAACGTTACAAGCGCTCATTGATTAACAACAACAATAAAAAATTGATTTTAAAAAGCCAGGTGTGTAATGTTATGCTGACATTTTAGAAGAGAAGGGAAATATATAGGCCTATTTACTTTTGTATGAATTATTTGATTGTTAATGCATATACACACACAAAAATAATAATGATTGCCTCTAGGGAAGTAAATGTAGGAGGCAGAGGATAGGGCTAGGACATAGACTTTTCACTAAATACACATTTATACCTTTTGACTTTTGAATCTTGTTTGCTCTTCTCAAAAATAAGTAAATTTAAAAATCCAAGTTTTCAAATAATTTAGTACGTAAAAATCTGGTTTTGATTTGTGTAATTCTAATGCTGAGTTAGATAGAGTGTCTTTTCAAATATTGGTTAGCCTTTCACATTTTTTAGGCAATTGCCTATTGATATGTTTTGCCCATTTAAAAATTATTTTGGGGTGGGGAGGGTTTAGCAAATTAAGGAAATCAGCCCTTTGTCTTAAGAGTTACAGAAATTTTGTTCCAGTTGGTCTTTTGACTTTATTTATGCTGCTTTTTGCCACCTAGTATTTTCATATTTGCTCAGTATCATTTTCTTCTTTTCCTTTTCCTTCTTTCTTTCTTTCTTTCTTTATATATGTTTTTCTTTTTTTTAGGTGGTGGAAATGAGTTGGTCATTGTGATCACTGAGAAGACAACTCTAGATCTGACATTTCATTGTTATTTTATATTATTTCATTTTTGAGAGTGTCTCACTCTGTTGCCCAGGCTAGAGTGCAGTGACCCAATTATGGCTCACTGCAACTTCCACCTCCCTGGCCCAACCACACTCCCACCTCAGCCTCCTGAGTAGCTAGCACCACAAGCACTGGCTAATTTTGGGTGTTTTTTTTTTTAGAGACCAGGTTTCACCATGTTGCCCAGGCTGGTCTCAAACTTCTGGGCTCAAGCTATCCATCTGCCTCAGCCTCTTAAAGTGCTGGGAGCCACTACACCTGGCCGACATCCAGTTATTAATACCTTTGGGTGATTTGTAAAATGTCAGCCTACTTAGAAAGTCTGTTTGAAGACAGTAAAAACTGGGACAAACTCATTTTAGCAGTGACCTAGAGGATCCTCCCCAAGCGCAAGGGGAGAGGGGCTTGGGCAGCGCTGTGTGGGCCTCATGGTGGGTCTCTGATGAGCCTCTCCTCTCTCCACTCCAGCGGAACTCCCTGGGTCCTCAGCAGTGAGGCTGGCCTCCCTGCGTGACCTGCCCACCCAGCTCCTGGAGCTGTACCAGCAGGGCTTCTCGCTGGCGGCCCTGCACCCCTTCGTGCAGCCCACTCATGAGCGGGAGAAGACGCCCCTGGAGCACATCTTTAGGGCCATCCTGATCAAGAAAAGCGACAGGTAAGGCATCTGTGGATGAATGGGTAGCATCCTGTTGTGGATAAGTTGTGCTTAATAGAGGAAGGGAAGTGAGAAGATGGGCTTGGGTGAGGGGGTTGACATTTGCATGCTGTCCTCAGGGCCTCTGCCCTCAGACAGGTGAGGCGAAAAGCTAGACAGCCAGAGAGATTTCTTAGCATCCTGTGATGAAAAACAAATACCATATCCAACTGCAAGTAGAGAGCTTCATTTTATATTCTTTCCCTCTTTTAACTCAGTGGATTAAACTCAGCTAGAAAAATGTCTTCTCGAAAGAAGTATATGCCCAGGATGCTACGGCTAGTAAAAGTGTAATACTTTCACACCAAAAGGCATGGCTGGAAAACGCAGTAATTTCATGCAAAGGCTATGTACAAACTGAATGTCTTCCCCAAAGTCTAGAAATACTTTTAAATGTTGAGCCTACCATAAATTCTGTCAATCACTTGACAGTTAAAAAAATGCAAAAAATAAACACCACCTAAATAAAATGCTATAATTAGTTTGGTCTTGTGTTAGATTTTCAGGGTTTGGGGGTATTTTTCAGTTGGCTTGCCCGGTTGAATGCTTATGCCTTTATTTCCATTGGGCCTAATTAAGGAAGGAGAAGTGGGGTTAGTCTTTCAAAAGGAGCAATAATAATTTTGTTTTTTTTTTTTTGAACAATGAGGATAGGATAGAGAGAGCAGTATGTTTTTTCTGCTTTCATAAAAATAAAAATTAAAATGAGTCTGGGAAAGGAAATCAGATTTGTCATTTGGCCAACTATCATAGAAGGAATGACAACATGTGCCACATTTTAAAGAGAGAGTGCAGAGCAACTCCTCCTCTTTCTCTCTTTTTAAAGTCACTTTACAGGTAGACAAAGCATTTGCCTGGTGTGCTCACGAGGGACGGCTGTGAGGCATGAGGTTGTGTGACTAAGACTGACACCTCTTTCCTTTCCTTTATTTCTTCATGGTTGATCAAGCTCTGGGGCTCTTAGTCTACAGCAACACACATTAGAATTTGAAGTGAAAGGTGGTGCATGTGTTTGCTCAAACCCAGAATTCACATTTTTTGGTAGGGTGATTTTTCTCAATGTCTGCCTTTTATGTGTATTAGTTTCCTTCTCTCTCTCTCTCTCTGTGTGTGTGTGTGTGTGTGTGTGTGTGTGTGTCTGTCTCTCTCTCTCTCTCTCTCTCTCTCTCTCTCTCTCTCTTTCTTTTTCTGTAGAAATGAGGTCTTGCTATGTTGCCTAGACTGGTCTTGAAATGCTGGCCTCAAGCAATCCTCCCACCTTGGCCTCCTGAACCACTGGGATTACAGATGTGAGCCACTGAGCCCGGCTGCACATTGGTTTCTTTTCTTTACTTTTTCATCTTTGAGATGGGGTCTCCCTCTGTCACCTAGCCTGCAGCACATGGCATGATCTCAGCTCATTGCAACCTTTGCCTCCCAGGCTCAAGCTGTCCTCCCACTTCAGCCTCCCAAGTAACTGGGATTACAGGCATGTGCCACCACACCTGGCTAATTTTTGTACTTTTGGTAGAGACCAAGTTTCACCATGTTGCTCAGACTGGTCTGGAACTTCTGGGCTCAAGAGGGTCTCCTGCCTCGGCCTCCCAAAGTGCTGGGATTACAGGTATGAGCCACCACGCCCAGCCTATTATTGGTTTCTTTATGTTGATTGGCTGTTGATTATGATCTGGGTCAATCACAAGAAGAAACTATACTGGAGGCCACAGGGGTTTTAAGTGACACTGACACACTAGCAGGATATGTCTAATGACAGTAGCTCAGAGTGAGTGAGCACTCACTGTATGCCAGGCTTGGTCATTACCATTTTATCTGTATCCTATGCCTATGAAATAAGTGTCACTTTTGTTCCCATTTTAAAGGGGGAGAAAACTGGGACACAAATGTTGAGTTGTCAAGGTCACACAGATGGCAGCAAGCAGAGCTCAGCCTTCCTGGGAAGCCTGACTCCCATACCTGCATTCTTAATCAAGGCATGAAGTGCGTGCTGTGTTCCTTTACCCACAATTCTTGTGGAGAAATACTTAGGACAAAAAGTGAGGGAGGATATCTTTGATCTTCCATAAAGAAATACTTTTATTCTCAACCTTTCCCCCATTTTACCCCTCAGTAGTCTGTAAGTAAATCAGAATTTCAGCAAGGAAACAAAATAAAACTGACAAATGCATTGTATAGATTACATAAGGCATCCACTGGGCTATTCTGGAGATTATCCAGTTGGCCTTAATGTTTAGATGACAAGTCCATTAGGGTGAGATCACCAGCGCATCCTTCAGCATGATCTGCCATGGGAGGTGACATGAGCTCAGGACTTGGCCTGAGCTTAACTCAGAAAGTGAAGATGCATCTTTTTTTTTTTTTCCTGCTATGGAGCAACACTTCTCAAACTTCAATATACCTGTGAATCTCCTTGGGATATGGTTAAAGGGCAGAGTCTGATATAGCCGGTCTTGGGGGAGGCCTAGCACTCTACATTTCTAACTCGTTTCCAGGTGGGGCAGATGCTGATGGTCCGTGGCATGCACTCTGAGTAGTAAGGGTGTAGAGGACCTGATTCTTGCCTGGCTTCATGCCTGACACTCAGCAACACTATTGGGGCTTGCCACTTTACTCCCAGGAGAGCTGTAAGCACCAAGCTAGGTAAGAAAGGACATGGGACTTGTGGCCAGAAGGCCTGTGTTCCAGGTTTCACTTGGCTCCTGGTAAGCAATGTTGTGCAGGGGGCACATGAGTGGATCTTTCTGGGCCTCCATTTTCTAGCTGCTACAATGAGGGGCTGATACTACATCATTTGCAAGGCTTGTACCGAACTCTAAGTTATCCAATGGGGCAAGGTGGGTGAGGAAGCCCCTCTTCAGAAATAAGAACCCCCACTTTGGGGAATAGTGCATTACAAGCCGGCAGTGAACCTGGAGGCTCAGTAAGGGTTCTTTACTTCCACTGAGGATGGCATGAACAAATGAGCTTACTTTCCAAAAGGCAAAAAGGAGCAAACTATTGAGGAAAATGAGATATTGTATGCAGATGGATTTTCAAGAAAGAGAGGTTGGCAGTCTCCTTGGGTTTGAACACACTGCAGTCCAGAGTTCCTGAACTGCCTGCCCGATGACCCTAATGAACATTTCAACTCCTGGACAAGCAGATCCAGAGAAGGAAATTCCTCGGGTAACTCTGTGTTGGGTTGGGTCTTTGGAACTGCCTTTTTTTTTTTTAAAAAACTGCAAACGTTTGGTAATTTATCATGTAAATTGAGGCAAAGATGATCAAGAGGATCATCCCCACTTCCAGCTCCAATAGTATTGGGTGGGAGGAGTGGTGAAGGTTGGTTGAAGAGTCATTGTAAAATGTAATTTTTTTTCTTTTTTTTTTTTTGAGATGGAGTTTCACTCTTGTTACCCAGGCTGGAGCACAATGGCGCGATCTCGGCTCATCGCAACCTCTGCCTCCTGGGTTCAAGCAATTCTCCTGCCTCAGCCTCCCAAGTAGCTGGGACTACAGGCGTATGCCACCACGCCCAGCTAATTTTTTTGTATTTTTAGTAGAGACGGGGTTTCACCATGTTGACCAGTATGGTCTCGATCTCTTGACCTTGTGATCCACCCACCTCAGCCTCCCAAAGTGCTGGGATTATAGGCGTGAGCCACCGCACCCAGCTGTAAAATGTAATTTTTAAGTACAGGTATTTTATATCGTAGCAAATGCAATAACTGCATTTTTTTTTTTATTATGAGGAAAAGACGCCAACAATCTTAAAAATAAGTAAACAAAAAACAACAGGGCCAGGCACAATGGCTCACGCCTGTAATCCCAGCACTTTCGGAGGCCAAGGCAGAAGACTCTCAAGCTCAGAAGTTCCAGACCAGCCTGGGTAACATAGCAAGACTGAGTACTACTAAAAATTTTAAAAATGAGCTGGATGTACTGGTGCACACCTGTAGTCCCAACTACAGGGAGGCTGAGGTGGGAGAACTGCTTGAGCCCAGGAGGTGGAGGCTGCAGTGCGACATGACTGTTACGTCCCCCCATTCCAGCCTGGGGGACAACGAGACCCTGTCTAAAAAAAACAAAACAAAACAACCAAAAAAAGAAACCCAGAACTTTTTCTTTATCAGTAGGGAGTTTAAGTAGTAAAAACAAAACAAAGGAAGACTTAGTGATTAATATTTAATTCAGACAGTTAAAACGGTGCTTTTCACAAAGTCTGCCAAAGTTCTGACAGCTATAGAAGCTGTTAAATGAAATGACTTAGCTTGGAAAAGGGAAAGAAAGGCTTGGTTAATATTTTTCTTTTTTTAAATTTTTTGTTGCATTTTGGTTTTGGGGTACATGTGAAGAGTATGCAAGACTGTTGCATAGGTACACACGTGGCAGTGTGATTTGCTGCCTTCCTCCCCATCACCTATATCTGATATTTCTCCCCATGCTATCTCTCCCCAACTCCCCACCCCGCACTGTCCCTCCCCTATTTCCCCCCAACAGACCCCAGTGTGTGATGCTCCCCTCCCTGTGTCCATGTGTTCTCATCGTTCAACACCCACCTATGAGTGAGAACATGGGTGTTTGATTTTCTGTTCTTGTGTCAGTTTGCTGAGAATGATAGTTTCCAGGTTCATCTATGTCCCTACAAAGGACACAAACTCATCGTTTTTTATGGCCTCATAGTATTCCATGGTGTATATGTGCCACAATTTCCCTGTCCAGTCTATCATCGATGGGCATTTTTCAAGTGGCGCACACTGAAAGAGATACACTTTCTAGTTTACTATCGGTCCAAACGAAGTTCATTGGAAGAATCACCATGAGATGACTGTGTGAAATTTTAATATCAACCTAATGTGTTTGAAGGGTTAACGTAAAGTTTTTTAGCAAATAACTAGGCTTGGGCTATGCCAGAACCACCAAACAGAACCCCTCAAGTCTGCATGGATTCCCTCACTCATTCACAAGTACTTGCTGAGCGTGTA